GTATGTCGAGTCCTTCTTAATGAGTGCATCTCAATCCTTCAAGAGGTTAGTCAAAGCCCGAAAAAGCTCAGTAGCTAACATTTAGGTAACATGTGATCATATCTGTCAGGAAGTAACAGTTCTATCAATGTCATAAGGATGCATTCTTGAAGACTTTCAAATAGCACGAAACATGAATCTAGCGTTTCCTACAGACTACCTCTGTGGTGCGCGCTACTTATAAGTAGTATATGACGCGAGTGTAAACGTAATGTCTGACAGCAGAAGATGGGGGAAGATCAAGAAAGAAAGGAAGGGTCGGAACACAATGGAATGGAATTTGTATGAAACGTATGAATATTGAAATGTCAGACAATGGATTGAAGATGGATTGATATTTTGCAAATTAACCGTTTGTGATATGGTTTTCCTATTTTACTGAGTAACTCTGTAATTTGCGATAAATACAATTCGGTAGCCCTCACCTGTGTTCTCGTTCACTACACCTCCAACTGTTATGAACGAAAAACGTACGACCAGACGGAACCAGTTTACTAGCGAAGTGAAGTGGAGAATACAGGCGAGCATGACTAGTTATTTATAGTCAGATAAAATAAGTCAGACATTCGATAAGCGAAGTATGCTCCACACACACTTGAACAAAAACATTCAAGATAAAAGTGAATACTTGGCAAAGTCAGAAAACATGAGAATAATAATAACTCGGGAAGAATGTGTAACACGTGTACTCAACAGTCACTGGAATGGAGGAGAAGACTTCAAACCACAATACACAATGTTAACCAAGAACTAACTTCACACCAACAGAGAACTTGGAGTGGTAGCCGTAGGTCTTTTATTTGGAAATTGGAATTTGCGGGTTTTATACAAAAGGAACGGCTTATTTAAAAAATGATCTTATGAGTCATAATGTAAGTCCAGCGAACTTAGGGCTTGCTCTTCTCCTTCCAAAACGTTTATCCTTGGTCGTCTTGTAATAGAAAGAGAACAGGATCTATTAATAACGTCGTCGTACGTAGTGATTTCAACACTGTTGTTACAAATGGATCGGTTAAATTGCTCAAAGGCTGTGAGAAGCCCTGTACTTACTTACTTACTTACTCTTGTTACCCCTAATGGAACATAGGCCGTCCACAAGTGTTCTCTAACCAACTCTGTCCTGGGCTTCCCTTTCAATTTCTGTCCAATTTTTGTTCATTCTTCCCATATATTTCTCTATTTCTCGGTGTAATGTGTTCCTTGGCCTTCCTATTTTCCTTTCACCTTCAGGGTTCCAAGTGAGTTCTTGTCTTGTGACGCGGTTAGGTGCTTTTCGTAGTGTGTGTCCTATCCACTTCCACCGCTTCTTCCTGATTTCCACCTCCACTGGAATCTAGTTTGTTCTCTACCACAGTAGGTTGTTGCTGATCATGTCTGGCCAACGAATCAGAAGTATTTTGCGTAGACAACTGTTAATGAACACTTCTATCTTCTGAATGATGGCTTTCGTAGTTCTCGAGGAAAGCAGCTAACTGCGTTACAAGACAAGCCGTCACTCAGAATCCTCAAAACCAAAGGAAAAGAGCAAGGCCAAGGAACACATTATGTCGAGAAATGGAAACAAACATGAGAAGAATGAACACCATTTGGATAGAACTGGAACAGGAATCCCAGGAAAGAGTAGGTTGGAGAATAGTGGTCGGCGGCCCATGCTCCACTTGGGGGGTAACAGGCGAAAGCCGGTAAGTAAGTAATCTGTGGACTGTTTTTATAATTAGGTTCTATTTTCTGATTGTGTTATGTTCGTCAATTGGTACGCTTGAAGCTATTTTGTGTTCACCTTAGTCGATAAACGCAAACGAGACAAGTACCAGTGTCCAGGTAGGCTACCTTGAATCCCAAGCTGAAGATAAAAGGCTTTGTAAACGTAGAAAGTATATTCTACAAACACCTAGCAATCACAATACAATCAAGCACACAACTCTCGTTTATTTACACATCATAGAAACGTCCCTGGGACAGTGACGAAAATAGCACACTAAAATACACAGCAGCCAATCAGAGACATGGATTTTCCTGGTGGGAAATGAAATCTCAAGGTCAACTGATCAGCCCATGCTCGCAAACGTGAAATCCAAAATAGGTCATGAGAAAGACTGAACATTGAGAATATGATTTTAGAAAATCATATGTATGGGAGAACATTAAACCTATACAATCTGAAGTTAATCAATGCGGTAATGTGTTTATCCTGTTGTAAACAATGCTGAGGCATTATCATCCAATATCGATAATCAGTGATCATAGTTATCTTACAATCTTTAAACTAGTAGTCTGTATTCACTTGAATGATTTTTACGAATAGCTACTGTCTTCATTGATGCATTGATTGAGTTCTGTAAGTCAACCCATTTGATTATAAAGATTAGATGTAATACACACTCTTTTCAAGTATCTCAAGAAAGAAGAATCTTACTTACTCATTTACTTATGCCTGTTTTCTTTTGGTTAGCGAATTTTTAGAGAGTTGGACTTTCATAGGATGGGGTCGCTAACCGCATCCCACGCCTCCTTCTTTAGCCGGGCTCGGGACCGACAGTAAACGTGGAAGGAATTCGGGTGAAGTTAGGTAAAGAAGTATCGTTTAGAAGTTACAGCACGACTAATGAGACCATGTGGAATAGGTGTAGTACACAAACCAACAGAATCATTTCAATCAATCCTATGTAGACTAAAGGACCAAATATCATCTACAAAATAAACTGCTCAGACTGTGAGAAACACTATATATGACAAAGTGGACGGTCTCTTCAGCTTCGTTTGGCAGTGAAATGCCACAACATTTCTTCGCTTATATCAACACATACGGACAATTATGGACATAAGTTCGATTGGAACAATGTTGACATACTGGATAAGGGGAAGTGCAAAGAACACTAGAGAATTTTTAGAAGCTTGGCACTCAGGTCAATCAGCAATCAACGAACACATCAACATTGACCCAATCAGAAAAATCACAGGTAAACATAGGATCGAGAAAAAAACCAATAGGGGGATACAATCAAAATAAAGATGAAAACAACGACAGATTTAAGGTCAACAGCAACTAATCAAGATCGAAGTTAACAGAACAATCTAACGGGTCAAACGTACAGAAATTCAATTACTTCACTACTGTAATCTGAAGTTTGTGCTGATGATGATATTGTTCAACAGAAGTACAATGAAAGCTCCACAACCAAAATAACATCCAGCTCATAGAGATCGAAACACCACCACAAGTATCGTTCAACAGTATGAGCTGTTGAAAATTGATAATCAACCATACTTTCAACAGTACTTAGAACTACTACCTAGTTCACGAACAGATCGAAAATTTCTGCATTCAATCACTCCGTATCAAAAACTCACTTTCTCCCTCTCTCTCTCTCCCTCTGTTCAAACTTGATAAATGCTTTCAAACCACTAAGCGTAAATTAGTTAATTGTTTCTGTTAATCCTTAAAAGTGAATGGGGGCTGCCGGTCAGCATTCTCCAACCAACTCCATCCTGAGTCTTCCTTTCTAGTTCTATCCTTTTGATGTCTGCTCCCTATTCTCGGTGTATTGTGTTCTTCGGTTTTCGTTTGGCCTTGAGAAAGAATCCAAAGGAGGGATTGTCTTGTGACTCAGTGCGTTGCTTTCCTAATTGTGTATCCTATCCATCTCCAGCTCTTCTTCCTGATATATATATATATATATATTGATAAGTTCGTTACTAAGTATGCTTGAGGCTATTACGAGTTTACCTTAATCGATAAACGCGAACGAGACTTTTACCAGCGTCCAAGTAGGCTCCCCGAAGCGAGTAAAAAGACTTTGTAAGCGTAGAAAGTATATTCTACAAACACCTAGCAATCACAATACAATCAAGCATACAACTCTCGTTTATTTACACATCATAGAAACTTCCTTGAGACAGTCACAAAAATAGCACATTAAAATACACAGAAGCCAATCACAGCCATGGATTTTCCTGGTGTGAATTGAAATCTCAAGGTCAACTGATCAGCCCATGCTGGCAAACGTGAAAACCGAAATAAGGCGTTTATCAAGCGAATTTTGGGGATCTAACATCCCCAACATATATATATATATATATATATATATATATATATATATATATATATATATCATATATATAATGGTTGACCCATTGTTAATATTAACAGCAACAATGATGTCTTTTTTTCGAAAATAAAAATCTCATCATCATATTTAATCATATAAAAAATTATTAATAAATACATTGAACAATTGAACGATCAAAAAAAGTCGAAGTCCAATTTTTTTTGGTTGTTTTTGACAACATTTTGATCAGTTATAATTATCTTGTTTAAAAAATCAAGGTCACTCAATTGTGCGCTTTTTAAAAAAAAATTATTTAGTCCCTACATTTAGTAATTAATATGCCATTAGTAGCAATAATAATAATAATGATATACTTTGTGTAAACTAATCACTACTTGTTGTAGTTACTAATCTAAATTGTCTCTGTTCTAATTTTTTTTTAAAACAACTCATTTAAAAATTACCATGAAATTATTGACCAACCAATAAAAAAACATGACATGACATTCAATTAAAAAAGGACTTTTTTGTTTTAAACCACTAGACTGGACTAAATTAAAATGCCACAAGAGGAGGAGGAGGAGGAGGAGGAGTTGATTGAGGTCAGTCAGTCAGTCAGTGAACATTGAATGAATGAATCAAACATTCCCCACAACTACAACAACAAAATATGCTGCTCATTCATAGGAAATGATGAATATTGTTGCGTGGTTGTAGGAACCAGTTGAAATGATGAAAATATCACTTGCATGAAAATGTCCCCTTCCTTTACGTATTTAGGATATATATATATATATATATATATATATATATATATATATATATATATATATATATATATGGATATATCATTAAAGTATTCAGAAAACGCGCGCTAAAATCAGTTCAATTCAAATCAGTGAAACATTGAATATGAGTGTATTTAAACAAAACCAATTATTATTATTATTTTCATTCTTATATATAATAATCACTTTGAATATCTTGATATCTGGTGGACATGATGATGATTCTTCATTGGATAATATGAGGAATAAGAAATATTTAAGATTTACATCACCATTACGAACTCATAATTTTAATTTACAAAATTTACAAACATTTCATCGGATTAATCAAATCAAACAACGCCATCGTTTCCATGAAAACAATGCTTGTTTAAATAAACGAACATATTCAAATGATCCTCATTTGTTATTTTTACAGAATGATTTATTCAAACTATTGAAAGGTAAACGTAGAATGATGATCAATCATGATGATCTTTTAGTTGATCAATTATTAAAGAGTGAAATCACAAAGTTACGAGGTTGGAGACCACAACGATATGGATAAAAAGTGATTTTATGCTCCTGTTGTTGTTGATGTGGTTATATGATTAAAACATTTTGTAAATGTTTTGTTTTGTTGATCAATATTCAATTTAATGAATGCGTTGTTTAAATTTTGAAATAATACATTTTAAAATTCAGAAACTCTCGCTTATTTGAATGGAATAATAGTAGTAGTAGTGTGGTGCGCGCTACTTATAAGTAGTATATGACGCGAGTGTAAACGTAATGCCTGGCAGAAGAGAAGATGGGAGAAGATCAAGAAAGGAAGAAGAGTGGAAACACAATGTAATTTGTATGAAATGCATGAATAAGTGAAATGTAAGACAATGGATTGATGATGGATTGAAGATTTGCAAATTAATCGTTTACGATATGGTTTTCCTATTTTACTGAGTAACTCTGTATTTTGTGAAGAATTCAATTCGGTTACCCTCACCTGTATTCTCCTTCACTACAGTAGTACAGTTCACACATTATGATATCAGAAAGAATTCAGTAAAGATTGAAATAAGGAACGATACAGATCATCGTAATGCAATAATGTGCTTCTTGAAATGCCTAGCATAACCGCGAACGATCAAAGACTCCCCTAGATGAAGCCTACCTGGAGAAATATTTGTTTCTAGATCGTGAGAAAGATTATTTGAATTGATAATTGGTTCCAGAACACCCTTAAAACATTATAGTTTCTTTAGTCCCAAATTATCAGTCATGAATATTTCGGAAAACTCTTCCTCTGAGACACATTAACAGAAACTGTTGCCACTGGAAAAAGATGTCTTCGCATCATTGATATGATGACGAATGTTGGCTATGTCGTCTTCCAGCGAACATAAACGATCGTCTACACGATCCAGTTTACAGTCTAAAAGTGACAAACATTAAACCGGTCGCCACTTACGTCACAAAGTACATTTACCTTGATATGGGTTTACATAAACCCAAATCAATATCGTCTATGCTCATATATTTCTTATTGGAATAAAATTGATTGAAGTGCTTTAATTACGCCAATTTACATGTGCGTATAGATATTTTACAAAAACTCAAGAAAAAAACCTTACGTGAGTTATTTTGATCGTTGTCACACGTCATATTATATTGTGGTGCGCGCTACTTATAAGTAGTATATGACGTGAGTGTCAACGTAATGTCTGGCAGCAGAAGATGGGGGAAGATCAAGAAAGGAAGAAGAGTGGGAACACAATGGAATTTGTATGAAACGCATGAATAGTGAGTGAAATGTCAGACAATGGAGTGATGATGGATTGAAGATTTGCAAATTAACGATTTACGATATGGTTTTCCTATTTACTGAGTAACTCTGTAATTTTCGTTAAATACAATTCGGTTGTCCTCACCTGTTTTCTCCTTCACTACAATATCACGTTTTATTCGCCACCCACCATAGAAAATAAACTTGCTAAAAATATTATGCAAACTAGAAAATTTCACTGCTCTACTTTAGGATTCGGGCGTTCTTCGTTTAGAACAGTTATGGTGCCTCGTAATGAAAGACAATCTTTTTCGGAAGTCACGATGCCGATGTCCGTTCTCATAACTAGAGCAACTATGAAGTAGGTAGGTATATGATAAAACGAAGAGGCTCACTGGAAAGTGTAGTAAAGTGGAACCATTAGTCAAGTACAGGGAAGGCAAAAGCTACCATTTAAAATTCAAGAACAGAGAAACAAATGGGAAGAGAAATTTGAAGAACTCCTGAACAGACAAGTCACAATAAACCCACCTGTAATCGAAGCAGTACCCACACACCTCCGAATTGATTGGAGAACGCTAATGCTAAAAACAGCAACTCAATGTCTAAGCGCAGAGTCGTATTGGTGACTGTAGAGGGCTGTGGCGGCAGTACGGTGTTTCCCTCGGACAAATAGCATCTGCAACGATACTGTCTTCCTTATAAAGGAAGGAAGGGATTGGAAAATTTCCGCTCTAAAAATGTTACACCTCACCTTACCATCTCCGGCGGTAGAACCCTTTAAAGGGATGAGCTAACACTTCAAAAACTTCCCATCAAAAGGACCTATGTGACCGATCTCAAGGAGTTGTTCCTTGAGCTCTGCGGTCACATTCCAAGGTTGCTACAACCAATACTGGTCCAACTTCTTTTTGAAATTTCGCACGAAATACCCTTTCACAGTGTAGGCAACCGGAAAGTGAGATCCTCCTTCACACCCGTGACAGCACACAAGATGAATGAAATTCGGTCACAAACAAATAAGATTTACTGATAATATCTATTCAGTTTATGCGATAAAAATAATAAGATTACGACAAACAAGAAGTCCAACAAGTTTAAAAGCGATGGTGAAGCCTTCAAAGTGTATGATATTACTTACTTACTTACTTACGCCTGTAACCCCCGATG